ACTTGGATATACCTACTAACCAACTGTACTAGGATTCAGGTCAGACGTATTGTACATTACATATAACTTATATTTACTAAATATCTAAATATAACTTTACTTTGTCGTTGACATAAAACAATTGTCTAATTTTATTTAATAATCTATTCCCCTGTAACTAAGGTACACGATTGCCTGTGTCTCCTTCAGGCAATTAAAACANTACACGATTGCCTGTGTCTCCTTCAGGCAATTAAAACTCATTTAAGGAGATAGGGACGATATTTGGGCAGACGTCGGGTAGCTTCCGATTCTTGGTTTTGACCAAGATCCTCAACTATTAAACAAACCCCTAACACCAGGTAACCGTTATTATTATTGTTCACTCGCTGCCATATCATATACGGCGGCCCCGGACCATCTTATCGCGGGTACTTTACGACATCAATAATAGCAATAATAATAACACTTGTTTTCTACATCAGTAGCAAATTTGACCGTACACGGAAATATTGTTTATCTCCGCTATTAACGTAGCTACTTTTGATTATTATGCGCTTTCAAACAACTACCATGCTACGCGACGAAACCCAACATGCTAATTATGCTAAAAGAAAACCACCTACGTAGCGAAGAGGGGAACCCAGCTACCGAAATTTTACTACTCCGTACGCCGCTCGATAGCAAAATTCCGGTCCGCGAACCCGAAGTGGGGGTTTTCGACAACACCACGGACGGTGTCAGCGAAGAAGAAATCGACGCGAGCAATCAGCGGCTCGTCGTAGCGCCTTTATCGGAGGAACATCCGGTGAACCTCGCGCTACACACATCAGAAGACGAATCTGATGTCGACCAACCGGGGAAAATTACGCGCGCAAACGGATTACTAGGCACGCCGTACGTTGAGGACGTATACGTTGCTCGCTCGATAGCGCACGTGACAGAACAAGTCGGGACGATCCGATAGAATATTCGCGATATTTCGAATAACGCGCGGACCGAGGCACGGATGACTGAACTAGAAAGGTCGCTGTCGCGTATGTCAATGGAACAGCGATAGAATTCCAACATGCTTGAGCGCNAACGGATTACTAGGCACGCCGTACGTTGAGGACGTATACGTTGCTCGCTCGATAGCGCACGTGACAGAACAAGTCGGGACGATCCGATAGAATATTCGCGATATTTCGAATAACGCGCGGATCGAGGCACGGATGACTGAACTAGAAAGGTCGCTGTCGCGTATGTCAATGGAACAGCGATAGAATTCAACAACAAGCCCGCAACATGAGACGGTCGTACGTACAAGCGTCGCTACCTCGGATTAGCAAGACGAACATTATCAGCGCACTCATACATATGAGAACGAGCCGACCGATTTTTCGTTTACGCGCCAACCACGGGAGGGGCAATTCAACACAACCGACGGTCGTCGGTCCTTTAATGATTTGTCGCCTACCCGCAGCTCGCGGTCGGTACTGGTACCCTACCACGACCTACGCACCGTACGCGCCTGCTTACCTGAGTATTACGGGAGAAACGAAGAGGACCCACGGGAGTTTCTAGACAGAGCGGAGGATCTACTCTGTCAGGGCGGTATACATCCAACCGCTTGGGTGAACATCATCGTCGTCATGTTTCTGAACGACAGGGCAGGTGATTGGTGGCGAGCGATTAAATTAAACAATGTGCCATGGACGGAATTTAGGTCCCAATTACTCGAGGAGTTCGACAAAATAGATATCCGGACTGCGCTCGAGACGGACTTAAAAACGACGCGACAGGGCCCCCAACAAGCGTTAACCGAGTTTATTATTCATAAACAACGTTTGGCCGCGCGAGTACGTTGTGGGTTACAAGAACAACAACTTTAGCGACAGTTAACGGAGCTTTTACGGGACGATTACCGCGCTATGATACGGTTAATGCACCCAGCGTCTTTCGCCGATCTACGTGAGATAGCGCACGACGTAGATAAGACCGCGGCTCCTCGGTATGCTCCGCCAGCGTCCCGACAGCCAGCCGAACTGCCTCCGCGGCATACCGCTCAACTAGCGGCCCGACAGCGAGTGGGTTATGCAAACGCGGACGCACCGCCATCCCCGTGCCGATATTGCAGTGAGCGACACTGGCATCGTCAATGCTCAAATAGACCGTCGGTATCGGGAAACGGCAATCGGCTAGGAGGGAATTAGTCCGCCCCCCCAGCCTACAACAGATCCAAACAGGGCCCAGCGTTTTAAACGACGTTTCAGTTAAAACGCGCCCTACGCAATTTTTATCCGGTAACAACATATCACGCATCACGACCGTCGCGCAAAACATCGAATCTAACGGCCCTTACAAGTTACATACTGCCAACGATATTGGCACTTTTTCGGCACCGCACCGCACCCCTCTTATCGGAATGGAGGGTACGCCGCGGTAAATTCGGATGTAATCAGGGTATCGGAGTTCGAAGACACTGTCGACACGACCGAAGATAGTGCGAGTCAGGTGTTCGAAATTTTTTCGGGCACAGTGGGGAGGGGGTGTCAGTCGACCCGGCTAGTTCACTAATGGCAGTTAACACTGTCAGTGGGCAAACCGGCATCGCGGTTAAGAACCAGCTGCCCCTCGTTCGAACCGTAAACCACCCGAGTAATGTAAATGGCCGCGCAGAAAATTACTACTCCAGCAATCGAGTTAGAATTCCAAAATGGCTTCGTCACAGCTTTACTCGACTCACAAGCGCATAAATCGTATGTAAAACCGATAATTGCTGCTTATAAATACGGAACTGTTTAAAAAGGACACACCGACGTGGTTAGACTAGCGGACGGACACACCGCCACGACGAATGGTACCGCCACGTTTACCGCTAAAATCGCGGATTTAGAAGTGCTTTTTTTAGCGGTTATTTTAGACGACCTGTATTGCGACGTATTACTCGGCCATGATTTTCTGACTGATCAGAAAGTCGCCTGGGACTACTCAGCAGGAACAATACACTTAGGTACTAAGAAACGTACAACCTCTTGTTGGAAATCGGGCGCACGACACACGATCCGCAAACCTTTACTTAGAATAATAATCGTAATAATCAAAACGAGATAAATCATATAAAACTTGAACACACTAAAAGTACAATAAAGTAATACACGACGATAAAGACTTATTGTCAGAATTATTTCAACAAAATCTTACTACATAAAAATGAGATTATCCACAGTGCTCCCGGGGTACTCTCCCCTACAATTCAATCCATTCCATCGTATATACTAAAACGTTTTGTTTTTTTTTTTTAGTCTAATACAAAGTTAATAATACAACAATTCTACAAAATGTTTATAAATATTGTAAGGTTTCAGCCAAAACAGAGGGCATACTAATTACCCACTGCCCAGGGGGAACACTGGACAGTGACCTAGTAGCCGCGCCAAGCAAGATAGTACTTGTTGACGGAGCTACTAGGTTTTGATAAAAAAAAAAAAAACAAATATTAATAAAAATGAGGGAAAAGTATAGAGAGAAAAAAAAGAGGCCATGTATAATATAATAACATTTTTTTAATGATTTAATTATTAAAGATTTATAAATATCGTTATTCATAAAGGAAAAAAAATAAAGAAAAAGAAAAAGAGAGGTGCCAGTTACACAAAATTAAATATGGGGTAAAAGGGGGTTTCATGTTGATACTTGTCGTTGTTGTTTTGAGGAGTGACGGCCCACCACCGGCCATAGTTGTGCCTCACATCATCATTGGTATCTCAACGTTTTATTTAAAAAAAAAAACGGAGGACAAAACAAATAGACTACAGCCTGGTTGACACCACAAGTAGACGGCAGGTCGACTCGACGCTTATTTTAATAAAAAAACGGAGGACAAAAAAAACGTGGCTTTCACAATAAAAATTATATAGAAAACACGACTTGTCGCCTCGGTAGTATAGTTGAGAAAAAATAATCTGTTGTCGCGGCATTTGTATATGATTGTCGTCACGCCGGGTGGTGGTGGTGGTGCCAACTTTGACACGTCCATTGGGGGGAAATACAACAATATGGGTATAGGTGCACAGTGAACGGTCAGCTGATGACGATAGGATGACAGATATCGGACCGGTTGACTAGTGGAGGTCATTACATACACAATTATTAAAATACTTTACACCTACTGCACACACCTCTAATTAATAAGATTTATAAAAAAATTAGTCAAATTCTGCAACATTAAAATATTCAACTTCCTCGTCTAATAACAATAGATTATTGTTATTAGTATTAAATCTATACTAATGATGAAATAATAATAATGTTCAAAAAAAGTTGTGTTAAAAGAAAAATTACTTTAAAACTATTATTGGTTTCTATTTGTAAAAGTTCGATTGTTGATATTTAGCTTTTTTAAAAATAAATTTCCCTTGAAAAACAAAAATATATAAATCGTTAAAAAATAACGAATTCAATTTACTTGTTAAACTAAATACATGCAACTATATTATTCTCATCAAATATTTGGTCAATTATTCAGGTAACTATGTTGCTACAATATATATTATATATACAGAACGGAATACATATAACTCATAACTGTTATAACTTTTAATACAATAAACATTTTACTGTATTCTTTTTAATAATAATATTATTTTTAATAATAAACGAAAAAATCGTAAAATGAATAGAAGATTACAAAAATATTTTTACAAAAGATAAAAAACGATAGTTATTGCAAATGTTGTCTGAACACAAAAATATATATCCTAATAGCAATAAATCAACATTATCCCAAAACTTTAAAATGTTCTTATTTATTAATTAAAAAAACTAAATTTTTAATATTATTAATTTTTTATAAATTTTCAGAAAAAGCTATTTTTAAATTTTATATAATTATTTTTATGTTATCAATATATTGTTATTACAAGTAAAATATTCAATAATTTTTTAAAAATAAAACATCAACCTTATGTCTTTACATAAGGTTTTTTTGTATCTTGACTTTTATTAAAAAAATTACTTGACAACCTGTAATATACGTTTGTTTTATAGAATATTCATAGAAAATTCGAGGTCAGAACATTAAAATGCTGTGCGCCTCGGCTTAAATTATTCCAAATTACTTAAAATTTTCAGAATATTATTTTTTTATACTAAAAAAAAAATTGGAGAGGTGTTAAAAAAGAAATTTTGAAATTCTTAAATAAAAGACCACCCTAGTACTACGTGTATTAAATTGCTTGTAGTTCATATTAAAGCTAATTATTATTTTATTTTTTTAACAATAATAATTCTTTGTTGTGCTGCTTTACTCGAAAAGTTAATTTTCTGCTATCATTTCTTACATCCTAAACTCGTAACTTATTATATTATGTTATATTATTAATTTTATACAGTAAAATGTTAGTTTTATACAATTTTAAAACAATTATAAATATTTTATACTTAAATTTCTGGTCATATCGAATCATGAGCTATTTATCTTACGGTATAATACTGCAGAATAGCTTAAAACACTAAATAAGAGCCAAGCTAATTAAAATTATGTCTTAAAACTTTTTCATTCTCTAGATCTTAAAAATCATTAATATTAAAAATAGGAAAATTAAAATTAAAATTTTTTTCTAGGTCAATTAATTTGCCAAAAATTATGTATTTGAGATTTCAAATAATTCTGTATTTTGTAAGTTAATCTCATAAATTACCATTATTATACCATATTTTTATACACCATTTTTTTTTAAATGGTAGAACAAATTTAACATGATATATAACTACATAAAAATTTATATTTACGAAAATATATGAAAATTACAATCGTTGAAAACGGCAGTTTTTTTATTTGTTTAGCAATTTTAAATGTCTATTACTATCTGAAGAGTACATAGATAAATTTGTAATTATAATTGACACGACTTACGTCACAATAATGTAGTCGACACTGATATAGATGGTACAAAGGCATGGGTCGTTTATTACTGAAGAACAACAAAAGATTATTAAAAAAAAGAAATCGAAATGACGAACCCAATTAATAATAATATTCGCATAAAATCGCGGCACTTTAGCTGTTGTCAGAGATGTGGTGACCGACATGGTCCTCGGACGTCAATAGTAACAGCGTTGATGGCGACGGTGCGGTATCGGTTCATCTTGTCAGGTTGCGCAACACGTCCAGAGCCAGTGGCGTAAATCATCGACGACCTGAAGCAGACTCGACCAATATTTGCGACGGGTCGTCGTCGGGCCAGCGACACTTGCTGGACTCTGTACCTTAACGTCTGGCAGGCTGTGTTGGTCAGTCCAATTACCGTGTACACGTAGTAGAGCGATCGCTGACAAATGCGACACAGGTCGTAGGGCTCTGTGTATCTAACGTATCATAATAATATAGATGATTAACTTTCTCTCGATATACTATTATTGGAAATCCATTTAATTACCGTGGAACTTTATAAAAGTTCTGTGTAAAGTGAATTTTAAAACCAGTAGCTAAAACCAATTTTTTTTTAGGGACTAATATTGTCAACATCAGCTGATATAAAAATTGATCAAGTTATTAATTATTTGTCATCCAAAAATTTACCACAAGCACAAAATGCATTCCATAAATGCATTGCTAATTTAAACATAAATGGTTTTGAACAAATGAATTATGGTAAGACGTTGAAATAACTTTGACATCCTTATATAATTAAAATAATTCATTAAACGCTGATCATTACATTTGTAAAAGAAGTATAATTTTTTTTTAATTTACTATAATATCAATTGAGCCACTATACTTTTACAAGAAAAAAATTATTAATAATCCTAAAAATCATTTTAAAACCTTAAGAAAATCCTAATACAAATACAAAATAAAATATTAACTAAAATAAAAATGAATGAGAATAAAGTCTATCCAATTAGCATCTTTTTAAATTTTATATAATTATTTGTATTTTAATGTTGCAACTATTTATTTTAAATAGTATTAATTTTTGAATGAGTTATTCAGATGTATAATTAATTTATCGTTATTAATTTGTAATTTTACAGAAGAATTCAATCAATTTTTAAGTAGTCTGGGAGATGATATAATTTCTCGTGAAATTCATCCAAAAGAAATGAGTCAAAAAATAATTGAATTTTTAAAATTAGATAAATCTATTATTACAGAAAATTTTGAATATTGTTGTATAATTTTCCACTCAAGTTTGTTTGCAGTAGAATAAGGTACAAAATAACGAAATGCTGATATTAATAATATCTCAATGCTTTTTAAATTTNTATTAATAATATCTCAATGCTTTTTAGATTATTCTAACAATTCAATAAAAAATAAATTACATTTTAGAAATTCAATGTCTTGCGAATTGACAAGAAATTAAATTTATACTTTATACTATTTTCCATTGTTATAATTCAAATAACAAAAATTAATAAAATAAAAATGATTAAATTAGAAGTAGGTCTTGTATATGGTGAGAACATCGGGTTGTGGTTCTATCGGCGTCATATGGTTCGAGGGTTTAGAACGACAAAGACAAGTAAATATAAAAATAATAAACGCAGTACATTATAAATTGAGGTGTAATAAACTTTTGTCTTTCTAATGTCCTAACTAAGTGGCAACGAAACGGCGGAGCCAGTTCACGAATACCATATAATGTTCTAATGTATAATATTTTAACCAACCAGTCAAAATTAACACTTAAAGATACTGATTTAATAAATGATCTATTGCTTTGTCATCCTTTACTCAAACTTATTAACTCCAAATAATTGGGATACCATAAATTTACTTGCTTCTGTTTTTTTTGCAAATTGCTGTGAGATGATTTGATAAATATTTCAATATGTTTATACAATTAGAGATATTGGATTTGCATTTCGTCACAAGATAAATAATTAAAACAAATTCTTTTCGTATATAAATCACACGCGTAAAAAAGGTAGCCGACAACAACACAGGTTTGTGGCTGACAATTGTTCAATTAGTATATACTGACACGGCCCCGCGTCGCTTCGTTATACGCGATGTCCCGCGACTCGTGCCACCTTTATCAGCCGTCGCCCTACTATGAGTATTTGACTGACCAACACCGCGTGCCATACGCCACGGTGCAAAGTCCGGCAAATGCCGCACAGCCGACGACGACCCGCCGCAAATGATACGTTGAGTCTTCTTCCCGTTGTCAGCGTGACAACGTCGAGGATGTTCGCCCCGGTTCCGGACGTGCCGCACGACCGGACTCGACGAACCGATCCGCACCCGCGCACCGTCGCCATTATAGCTGCTAACTTTTTGACGCCGAGGATCATGCTGGACACCGAGTTGTGGACGTCAGCGAAAGTGCCGCGATATTAAGCGAAGATTATTATTACTGTATTCGTCTTTTCGGTTTATTTGTCTTTCTTTAAAGTTAACCCGTTGTTGCTCATTAATAAACGGCCCACGTGTCCTACCCTCAAAACCAGCGTCGACTACATTTTTGCGACGTAAGTCGCGTCAATACGATGAAATCGAATGCCGCTCTGAAAGGATTTTTGTACTCTATATAGTGTAATACGGTACCCCCCTCCCAATCCAGGGATATTGTTGTCAGCGTTTTTAGCGAATGTCTTTTTATTTTACATATTAAATGTTACATGATTAATACAATTTGATAGTATTGTTAACAATGGTTGAATTATAGTTATAATATAAATTATAGATAATTATCAATTACAATATAAAGCGATATACGTGTATGCCAAGCAATTGGACATATACGACACCACCCTCCGGTCCACCATTGCTAGCGGTGACTTACCGGTTTGGTATCGCAGGCGCCGACTTATGAGCGAGCAGCAAGCCCATCTCGAATGCGTCCATGTGAAATACATCTAGTTAGCAACTGTACAATCTTGCTCCCCCCCGCATAGAATTTGAACATTAACAGGCTTCCTCGTCTTATAACTAAACGTTAATTAAACTATGATATAAATATTTACATAATACAAGTTTTTTTAATATATCTTTTTAATTATAAAAACATCTTTATTTTAAGGTAACGGGCGATTTGAAAACATATAAAAAACATATAAAATTCTGCGAGCTTGCATAAAAATGTATTCTCTTGATGGACATGATACGTCAGAAATGAGTAATTGAACCTTATACACTGTCTATACAATTAAAAATAAATGGGCAAATAGTTTTACTATGCTTTAGATGTGTACGAAGGAGATTTAAACGAAGACGACCGAAACGATGTACGAAAATGTATAGTCGGAGATATAATTAAAATTATTTCTGGTAAAATTCCTCTAGATGGAGTTGTTCGTGGTATAAAATTCTTCATTTTTGGATCTGACGAAATTCCTTTTGCAGAGTATTGTTGTGCTGCTTTTTACACGTATTTGGTTTTAGATGATTCCATGTTTTCTGTAAGTAAAAATTAACCAATAAAATATATTATTATACACCTTTTTTGTTTTATGAAATATAATTTTAAAATATATATCAAGTAATTACAATTGTTGAAAACAGCACTTTTTTATTCGTTTAGCAATTCCAAATTACTATAACACTCTGAAGATTGAATATGTTATTTTTTTAGGGACTAATATTATCAACATCAGCAGGTGTTAAACTTAATAAAGTTATTAATTATTTGTCATCCAAAAATTTACCACAAGCACAAAATGCATTCCATAATTGCATTGCTAATTTAAACATAAATGGTTTTGAACAAATGAATTATGGTAAGACATTGAAATAACTTTGACATCCTTATATAATTAAAATAATTCATTAAACGCTGATCATTACATTTGTAAAAGAAGTATAATTTTTTTTTAATATACTCTAATATCAATTGAGCCACTATATTTTTACAAGAAAATAAACTGTATATAATCCTAAAAGTCATATTAAAGCTGTAAAAATATATTGAAATGAAACTTTACAATTCCCAGAGTAAATTATTTCACTACTTTATACTTTTAACGTTAAGTTAATTATCTTAACATAAATGACGGATCGGGGGGTTTTACTTGACAATCGTATAATATCAATTACAAACAGTAACTTTATTATACATATATATATATACAAACTAATAAATATTAAATATATTAACATTAGAATAATAATAGTAGAAAAAACAAACAAAAACGTCACCCAGCCATCAGCTATCCATAGTGCAATTAACGTTGAATCGACTGCCAAAACGCTTCCCAAAGTAATTGTTCCTTTTGCGTATGGAATGTCAAACTCCGCTGCTCTATTTCCGTTGAGCACTCGAGTAATAGCACGTAACTGGTAACATAAAGTGTTGGTTGTCACCTAAACAGGCCAATACCAACCAAAAAACAATGAAACAAATTAAAAACACGCCAGCTCACTGGCCACGAGTCATCAGACTCAAGAGATGCGGTACGACTTCAATCGCGTACACCGACGTAGTGCTCGCAAGGTGCCGGTAGTGCCGGACACGATTGTTGTCATTACATTGAGAGGGGTAATGCCAACTCGAGCTATGTGTAACTTTACCGGCTACACGCATAACTTTTGAACAAAAGCCTTAAGAAAAACCTAATACGAATGTCAAACATCTTTGCAACATTATAATCTATTTAGTTTTGTAAAACATGTAAGCCACTATGTTAATAGTATTGTAACATTATTATGTTATAAATAAATCAACCATAATTATAATATAAATGTGTTAATTTTACTTGAATAAATGATAAATACTGAAATGGTATTTTTTAGCTTTGATGCGAAGCTGAGAAGGTATTGGTTCTACTATGATGTCTTAGCCTTTCATTGGGTATATTTTTCTTATAAATCTGACCCTTTACCTGCCCACAGGGGAAGATTTAAAATGACAACTTTTTCACAAAAAATTAACTTTTTCAAATTTATATTTGAAAGTGTTCCGGAAAGTCTGATACTTTTATATATATCTTAAATTAAAGCTAATATAATATACTATATTATGAAAAAAAACAAATTTTATTTTGTCTTCATGGTGTAAATGGCTACCAAATGCTATATTTGTGTGAAAAACTTGATTTTATTTTTACATTTTACATCAATAGAATTTTAGCTTCGATGCGAAGCTAAGAAGGTATTGGTTTTACTATAATGTGTTTTTTTTTTTTTGTGTGTCTGTTACCACTTTTTCTCAGCTCTCACCGAACGGATTTCTTTCAACGATACGTCAAAAGATCACAAATCGTATCTAGTCGAAGACATTACCCTTAAAAATTGGAAAAAAATTCCCCCGTTCCCCGTAAATGGGGGAAATCTCCAAAATAATTACAAATTTAAAAATCGCTAATTTTTTCAATTTTTTTTACTTAAAACTGCCATAACTTTTTCAAAAATGAACAAATCAATATACTTTTTTTTTATAAATGCTTGATGTCTTTACCTATTAGTTGGTATATTTTTTTTATAAATTTAGCTCTTTACCAGCCGACAGGGGGGATTCAATATGACAACTTTTTGACAATTCTTTTAATAAACCCTTTTTCATTCGACATACTTTATCTTAATCGAGATATTAAGGAACCAGCAGATCAAGTAGCTTTTGGAATAAAACACCAATTTTTTTAAAATTAAACACTATCTAAAGATTTGCATCGAAGCGTTTATTTTTGATAGTGATTTTAATCACTGTCAGATATCATTA